TTGCAGTACTATACAGCATTATTCGGAGCCAAACAGCCGTACTGCCTTTCCGCCCATACTGTATGAATGTTTATTCAGCCCCTCCATCAATACCGTGTAGGAGCAAGTTAACATTTCCGAGAGGTGGAAAGATGGGGAGGAGGAGAAAGTCGGCATTGGTCAATAATACAGCTAACTCTAAGGATCAACGTCGATGCACACGGCGTATCGGTGACGTGAGAGCAACATTATATATTCTTTTCACGATGAAAAGTGTGGTGGTCTAGTGGGCAGTGTGCTTAGGTTTGACCGAGTGTGAGTCTTGCGGTTTGGGTTTCGATCCTGAAAACCTTAGGCATTTTGTGAAGGCTATTTTCGTACATTTGTGTAAATTTCCTATTTTTTTACCCCCTATATATAAGAATAACACCACCAGGGTGAAATATCCACAGGCTTCTTAATTTTAATGAATTCATGTAAGTTTGTCTGTCTGTTTGTGCAACGTGTTGCCGTATCCGTCGTCCAGATACCCGAGTGATGTTACAGTAACAGTGCATGTTTCCTTGGATACTGGACCCAGGCAGTAATGCATTCAACACTGTAATATATCTGACTGAAGGCTTGAGTAGCTATGACAGTGTGTGTATCATGTCCAACACTGTGAAGAAACGGTCACACACACAGCCAGTCAGCTTTCCAATTAGTTGATTACTGGATTTTCTGGTCCACACCGCCTCCATATAGTCGGGATGTTGCTGAGTGCAGCGTTAAACAACAACCACCACAACCCAAAACAACAACAACAACTACAACAACAACAGCAATAGCAATAACAACAACAATAGCAATAACAATAACAATGATAACAGTTTAAGCCCATGTGATATGAGCGTTTTCCCACACAGCATTAATTTTATGAAATGTAGAAAGAACTTGTTTCAAGCAGGTGTGGCTGATAAACTTTTAGCGAAAATGCACTTTTGTGTTGTCCAAGTGTGGGTGGGGTATTACGGTGGGCGGAGCAATGGAAATTATTCCTTTGTCACACCTCATTCTCGGTATAACACCTGAAGCACACCCCAACTTGGTCCTGTTAACGGCAGTTTTTCAGATATTTGCCTGGCGCTTCAGTCACTTTGACCCACTTTTTTGGGGGGTATGTAAGACCCGAGACCGGAGGGTGGGGAGAAGTAAGACCGAGAGCGCGTAGCTCGAGGTCTTACTTCTCTCCACCCGATGGTCGAGGGCTTACTTTCCCAACCATAACCTCGGAGTCGTGCTTTATTATACATATAAACCGTCAATGATGGATAGTTAGATGATCATGTAATGAAGCTACATTACAGTAACTGAAGCGCTAGTAAAATCAATTGAATGACAGTAGGCCTAACTATAAACAGATAATTCAACACCCCTTCTGTGTCGGCCCGGTGGCTGTGAGGCAGAGCGTCTGCTTATGAATCTGAAATATACGGTTCCAATCCTACTCGGGAAAAAAAAAACTTTTGCACATTTAAGTTGATCTTTGACGATATTTTTCAATTGATTTCAAACACTAACATATCGTCTGAATTTGAATGTTGATGTTAATATAGAGTTAGGAAAAAGTAAACCTGGGAAGAGGTCTTAATTACGAAAAGTAAAACCTGCGAGCAAACAAAAAACTCAAATGCGGTAATTCCGGGAAAAGAAGCCATGTCTAATATATAGTGAGAAGCAGCCTTCAGGTTTATATAGACAATTCACACCAATCTCAAAACCCAGGGCTTGTAGTCAGTCTGCAACGCCATCCCTGGTCAGTGTGACATGAGTGTGGAGGTAGGTATATCAATGTCTTTCACTCGACATTTTATATTTCTGGCATTCGCTCAATAAGGGACGAAGCATGTACATGACATTGTCAGGTTTCGGACAGCCGTTTGCAGTCACGCTTTCAGGGAAGACAGTGTCACCTGTTTTCGTGCCTCTCTGCCAAATTGTTTCGTGGCGATGAAGCAGGAAGGCAGGGGATTTTGTTGTATACTGCTGTGTATAATAATTGAAGCAACATTGGCGCCATTCACAGTGTAACCCAAGAATTCCAACAGAGACCATATACGGATATGTGGTCTCAGATTCCAACAACGTATTTCTTACTTTTCAGATGATGAGTGCCCAAGTTATTTTACGAGCGCTTCATTGTTTTGAGTTTCGTGTTTGCTTTGTTTTTTTCAGGAGTCTACTGATTAATTGCCCCGGCTAATATTCCCGAAGTAGTTGATGCGACAAAGCATCGACAAATGTCTACTTTTTGTCGTGTTTATGAGGGCCCATATAATTTGTAGGCATATTTATATTATATAAAATAACCTGCCTAACCTAAACATTTCACATGTTGTTCATGTATTGATGTAAAATGTATGTTAGTGAGCAAATTAATTCTGAAGTGTACAACACAATTTGTTTTCTTAAAATACGGAATATTGGTAATGGTTAAGTGCATGGCATTCTTTCCATTTATTGTCTGTTATTGCAGCTGCTACCTGTTATGGGTTTCATGTGCCAACTATGTCAAGTCTACCCAGGAATGAGTAGAAAATCAAAATAAATACACAGTGTACATGATCACGTGTATTTGATTCATTCAATTAAAAACACTCTGCAGTTTGTGATCATTGTTCATTGCTCTGTTCACTAATCAAGATACTCGTCTTTGTTCCATAGCGCTGCTGAATGCATGCCACACAACCTGGTACCCTTGGCTCCCCACTGGCTCCCCACTGGCTCCTTACCCCTCATGACAAAGTTCACTGTGTCGTCATTTGACATCTATTTTTAAAAAATGCTTAACTTAACATTTTAGCCAGTTATGTACTTTGTATCAGTCACTCTGTGTTGCCAGAACATTGTAACCTTGGTAACAGTTCTGTAATTATGTCAACATCATGGGACCTTGAAAAATATCACTTTCATTGACAGTATTTCTTCATATCTAAATTTCCCAGAAAACATAATCCGTGGTTTTGGTTACCATGGTTTTCAGAGCATTAATACATCTAGAGCAATGCCGGATTATATTTGTTTATTTGGCTGCTAGTTAGTTGTGCTCATTGTGTTGGATGTTGTTGCAGACCCTGACAGAGATGACAGTGCCGCCACTGACAACCTCCGGACACAACTCTTCCCAGCCCTGAGGAGGGAGAGACAGTGCAGGGTAGGTCATTTTATACCTCCTCTCACTGTGACCAATGGTGTACAATATTGGAGGAGGGTGGGGTTGGGGGCGGGGGTGTTGGGGGTTGGTTAGTAGTGAAGGTGTCCTCTGCCTTTAGGTTCTAACAGAGGGGGTTTAGTGGCGCTGTGAGAGGGGGAGGGGAGAGGGAGAGGGCTGATTTCAGTAATGAGGTGGATATAGGGGAACCCGTAGACAGTGCATGTATTTGTGTGCAGGTCATATTGAAGTTATTGTAGGAGGTGTGAAAGCAGCTGGACTCAATGTTGATGATGCTTTCTGTAGTGTGTGTGAATGTTGTCTAGGTAGTCTGTTCTGGTTTGTAGCTTGTTGCGCCATCTTCTAGTAGCAATATGTTGGTGAACAGGTCGTTGACCATGGTGCCTGTGAGATTTGCTTCTTTCAGTGGGTTATCCAATGTGGAGGATTCGCTGATGTGGTACTTTCCATCTTTGCTTGAAGGGCTTACAGACGGGAAAAGAACTGAGTAGTTTATAGAAAATATATCCTCTGCAGCATACAAGTATGCTGGCTTTGGGTGGGTGCTTGTGTATCTTGATTGTGGCTGTATCTTAGCGTATGTTGCTGGATGAAAGTGGCATCATTTTTCTTTCTTCGCTGGTGAAGATCTTTCCAGGGTCTTCTTTGAGTGTGTTATACAGACCCTGAAGCAAATATATCCAAGAAATCCCGCGCAAGTCTAGAAAATGTGGCAAGTGTAGATTTCCACAGCTTCAAGGTCTGTACCAATCTGCTGAATTCACAAGCCAGCACAGGGCTTTAATTATCAGTTGATATCTAGCTGTCACTGGTGTTTAATATTAACTCATGGGAGCCTCCCCCGCCACTCCCCAAGACCCCACACTGAGCCAAGGCCTCCTGCTTCTGCCCTGTCCTCTCACTCCAGACAAACAACATGTTTGATTACACTAGAGACCTGATGACTTAAAAATCTGAGTATTTTCTTTCACTGTTTCATTTTACACTGGTGAGGAGAGGGGATGATTTCGAAATGTTTCCATCTCAGGGTAAAAATGAATTGGAACTTTGATGAGGATGAAAGCAAATGTACATAGCATTTGTCCATTGTACTTAAGTGGTGAAGATGTGTTATTTTGTTCTTCCACCAGGAGTGGAAAATCACTGACATTCGAAATTCTCACTATTTATACAAGTCAGTAGAAAATACAAGCCATGCTACTGTCATTGTTGTGTCACCCTTGATTACCATGATGAAGAAACAAACAGAGAAATATAAATCATTAGGCTCAAAGCAGTGTACCTCAACGATGTAGGCATTTGTGACTTTATCAATGACTTTAGTGACAAAACATTTTGTATAGTGTACTTAAATCTTTACATATACTTAATCCTACTGATGGTGGTAAGCGCCTGACAGGCAGCAGGACCACAGCACTGCTCCACATTTTTCTCGATTTTCTCATTTGCTCATGCCGCAGCAACTGGAGTGGAATAATCTGCCCCAAGAACTCAAAGACTCTCAAACGTTGTCGTCCTTTAAATCCTTACTAAAAACTTTCCTCTTTCGCCAAGCTTTCCCTGACTTTCCCTAATATCAAACCATGTTTGTACGCTTTGAGCATCCTTATGTTTGGAATTAGCGCTATATAAATGCACCATTATTATTATTATTATTATTTAATTGCCATCTGATCTATTTTTTAAGATTTTTTACTCTAAAATTAGCCCTATTCTCCTCTATGGATCGGAAATATGGGGCTTACATAATTCTCAAGAAGTTGAAATTTTACAAATGTTTGCACGTAAACGATTCTTGGGAGAATGTGCACGTTATCCAGTGTATAGTTTAACTTATAAAGGGCCGTTGCTTATTGGTGTAAAATATGCAATATGCCTGATACGAGATTTGTGAAAAAATGTTATAAGTTATTAGTTCTAGATTGTATCAAGGTTAAAACTAACTGGGCCGCTAAGATCAAACATATTATCTACATGCATGGATTTTGCTATCTTTGAGAGGAACAATGTGTTGTTAGTGTTAAAAATGTTATGTCGGTGTTTGTATACAGACTTAAAAGTATCTTATGAGCAAGATGGGCATGCAGCCTTCGATAGCAGCACTAAATGTTCCATCTATATTTCGTTTAAATCATCATTTGGCTTAGGATTGTATATCAAAGAACTCACAATTTCAAAATTCAGGGCCGCATTTGCTCAATTTAGATGTTCTTCACGAATTGAAACTGACAGATATGTTAAAGAAACTTTAGTTGATAGATTATGTCTTGTGTGCAAAGAATGATATATTGAAGACGAAAACCATTGTTTATTAGTATGTAATGCATACCAACATCTAAGGTCTCTAAGGCCTAAGGAAATACTATTTGAATCCTACTGTACATCTTTTTCTCTTCAGTTCCACAGCTTTGGTAGTAATAGTATACATTAATTACAGTTTTCTTTTCAAGGCACAAAGTATTGTCCACACGAGTGACCTCACCTAAACATTTTCTATACACAGTATGTGTAGAAGACGTTCCCTGTGAACATTTTCGATCAGAAGACATGGCTCTGTCTTAGTACTTCCAATAAAAGAAATTTTCACCTGTTCGATGCAACATCAATTAAACTTCCACATATAGTGCAGACAGAACCTTTGGATTTTGGAGAATATAAGTAATTTTGGAATTTTTGTGAGATCCAGTTGTCCAGCCATAGGAAATCAGGAGATGCTTCTCTTAGCTGGTACCCCTGCTTGCTCTCAAAATAGATTTGGTGACACTTGATACTCATTACCCAAAAACTGCCCACACCACTGACAGTAGGACTGGGAGGTGGTGGGGGCAATAAATATTCCTGTCACAAACAATTTCAGCAGTAGTGGGTGATAAGAACCATTGTAAATTATCTCTCTGCAGATTTGTTTAGTCTCTGAAAATGAAGAACGTCTCAGGGCACCTTTTCATTATATTTTGATTTTTTTCACTATGAGCCTTTTTTCTGTTAAATGTGTTCATTTCAGAGACTAGTTGTAAGTCTAGGTCTTCTTGTGTTGAGTTCCTAGTTTGGCAGTGGGGTATTTCTGGATGGTGAGGTAGGTGGTGGTGGTGGTGGTGGTGGTGTCAGAGAGGGTGTGGTTGACGAGCTGGAGGAAACCTGGGGAGTTCATGACTACATGCCTTGGTCAGCTTCTGTGATGGTTATCTCTCTTTCATGATGAGGTGTTGGCATGGTTTTGTTTGGGGTTTTTTTCTTCATAATAATCATTCACCCGATGAAACAGTAAGAATATATGTAGTGTTTCTCATAGTAAAGCAATTGACATCCATAATTTCACCTTTTATATGTATTACTCATTAATGCCATACAAAGGCATAGGGTAGGTTACCCCTCAACTCTATCCTTAGCCCTTGGATCCCCTTTCCGATCCAACACCCCTTTCCAATCCTTAGGGTTAGTTATATCAGGGTCAGGGTAGGTCACCCCCAACTGTATCCTTAGCCCTTGGATCCCCTTTCCGATCCAACACCCCTTTCCAATCCTTAGGGTTAGTTATATCAGGGCCAGGGTAGGTCACCCCCAACTGTATCCTTAGCCCTTGGATCCCCTTTCCGATCCAACACCCCTTTCCAATCCTTAGGGTTAGTTATATCAGGGCCAGGGTAGGTCACCCCAACTGTATCCTTAGCCCTTGGATCCCCTTTCCGATCCAACACCCCTTTCCGATCCTTAGGGTTAGTTATGTTAGGGTCAGGGTAGGTCACCCCCAACTGTATCCTTAGCCCTTGGATCCCCTTTCCGATTAATCAGCCCCTTTACAATCCTTAGGGTTATCTGGGTTAGGTTTAGGCAGGATGCCTCTATCTGTATCCTTAGCCCTTGGATCCCCTTTCCGATCCAACACCCCTTTCCAATCCTTAGGGTTAGTTATATCAGGGCCAGGGTAGGTCACCCCCAACTGTATCCTTAGCCCTTGGATCCCCTTTCCGATCCAACACCCCTTTCCAATCCTTCAGGGTTAGTTATATCAGGGCCAGGGTAGGTCACCCCAACTGTATCCTTAGCCCTTGGATCCCCTTTCCGATCCAACACCCCTTTCCGATCCTTAGGGTTAGTTATATCAGGGCCAGGGTAGGTCACCCCAACTGTATCCTTAGCCCTTGGATCCCTTTCGATCAACACCCCTTTCCGATCCTTAGGGTTAGTTATGTTAGGGTCAGGGTAGGTCACCCCCAACTGTATCCTTAGCCCTTGGATCCCCTTTCCGATCCAACACCCCTTTCCGATACTTCGGGTTAGTTATATCAGGGCCAGGGTAGGTCACCCCCAACTGTATCCTTAGCCCTTGGATCCCCTTTCCGATCCAACACCCCTTTCCGATCCTTAGGGTTAGTTATGTTAGGGTCAGGGTAGGTCACCCCCAACTGTATCCTTAGCCCTTGGATCCCCTTTCCGATTAATCAGCCCCTTTACAATCCTTAGGGTTATCTGGGTTAGGTTTAGGCAGGATGCCTCTATCTGTATCCTTAGCCCTTGGATCCCCTCCTATTAATCAGCCCCTTTACAATCCTTAGGGTTAGCTGTGTTAGGGTTAGGGTGGGGTACCTCCATCTGTATCCTTAGCCCTTGGATCCCCTTTCCTATCAATGACCCCCTTTACAATCCTTAGGGTTAACTGTGTTAGGGTAGGTAATTTCAATCTGTATACTTAGCCCTTGGAGCACCTTTTCGATCAATCTTATTTCTTGATTCTGCTGTCTAACTGTAACTGCTCCTTCTTATCTATCCAATCTTATGTGTACATACTTTCCCGAAGGAATACAAACAGTTTTCCAAGTTAATTTATTAACGGCTCTTTGGGTAGTTTGCATTATTTGCAAAGCACAAAATCAAACGTGCAACACAATGTGCAAATTAGTGCTGCCTTTACACACCAAGTAAGTGTGCAGGGAACAAATGAAATTACAATGTACAAAAGTAATTACTACAATTACACAATGTGTGCTCTGATTTTATGAGCGCTTCACGATAATAATACGAAGGTTAGGCCATCCCATGTAGTCATGGCAGTGGGCACAGTACTATGGCACACGAAATCTGGAAACAATTCACCATTAGGCCTGTCCCAAATCTCACAACCATATGTATCGTTTCTAATACAACACATCATCCATTTCAACGTGGCTTACCCTTACGGTGGAAAGTACACAATGGCGCTCAATATTATATTTCAAGAAAACGTGGTTTATTGTTTTTGATTGGTTAATCGGTAGCACATAAACCAATCCCATTGCTTGCTGTCACGCTTCCGCCACGTGTCCAACTCATTAGTATGCACCCATCACCTTAAACCCAAGCCGAGGACGACAAGGGCACAGCACTCCATTCTCACATTTTGTCTTATTTCTTCTCATCATACGCTCACATGGTCAAAGGGCACACAACTTTTGTGTACTTTCCCTGCCATGTGTACGGAGGTGCACTAGTAGTCAGATAATTATCATAAATTGCCTATTTTGAAATAATTCCGAAATCCTGTTGTATTTAAATACTGTTGTATTGATGTCAGTTATGCTGGTGTTGAAACGGGAGTATCGCTACACTGTTGTATTCATGCTCAGTGAAGCAGTCATAAAATCACACATGTGTAGCACCTTTGCAAAATGTTGCACATGTACGTGTTATGCGTCGTTAGAAGTGCATTTTAAAGGGTATATGTGGGTTGGACACCTTTGATGGCAGCAGCCTGGTGTGGGAAATAGGATGTTGTCGACGTGCTCGTGTCAAAGGTAGCAAATATCTCCCAAGATAAGCTGGTATACTGGTACATGCTGATATACTAGTACAGGCTGATATACTGGTTCAGGATTATATACTGGTACAGGCTGATATACTGGTACACGCTGATATACTGGTACATGCTGATATACCACAATGTCTCACTACCAAATTCCATCACTCGGTCATCCTCATCCATTAGAAACTTCTGACAGTGTCCCCTTAATGCCTAACTGTGCGGTAATTCAGTTTCCCAGACATGAAATAAGGGCTGTTCATCAATCCCAGAAGCTGATTTGATGTAAATAATAACAACGGACCCTTGTGGAATGTAATATATTATGGGTCTGAATTCACATTTTATTGACATGAGAGTGTTCGATATCTTAAAATTATCTCCCAAATACACTATGTCTTTCTGTCACCCAGGAACCCATAACTTATTACAGAGAAACTCTGTTTTTAGCTGATATGGCCAAACACTGGTTATTGTAATTACAAATATTCAGTTTAGGGCAGGGTAACCTTTGTTCCCTCTAAACTGGCTTATGCATGAAATTGGCAAGTCTAACAGCCTCAAAACAATACACAGTAAATAATTTTGTAGTTATGGAAGTATTTCAAAGTCTTCGCTTGATGAATCAATTTGTTTTCCTAAAATTGTTGGAAGCGCACCTACAATCTCCATTACAAGACCGTAAGATCGTCAGAAATACACTCAGTTGGACCCATGAGAACAAACGCACGCGCGTGTATTTGAATCTCTCACCGTCAATCGCATGATTCTTATTTAAAACTTCATAATAGGCAGCAAAATCCTGTTACCTACGTTCTTTGTACTTTCAATATGACGATATATATTTTTCATGATCTTTTAAACAATGACATTATGCCATAAACGATTTAAGTACTCGTGATTATTTTTATCAAAGCACCGCACTTATTACGCGCGTTCTGATTGGTTTGTCGTAATTTCGCACATAACAAGCATCGAGACGGGGACGGGTCTTCTTGGAGGTTACGGAAAGGGGCGAGTGGTGACGAATGTGATTTATAAACAATCTCTTTTTCTGTCCTCTATGACTGAAGATTTGCAAGGGGAGGTAATAATCTATTCAAGTTTCGTAAAATCCTCTCGTGGTAATAGAACAGACTGTAATCAGTTTTGGTGTTTGTTTAAAATATAAACTGAGCAATGCGCCAGCTGTATGGCAGCGAGTCTGGACCAGCTGATGGTGTATTACATACATGACGACTGATGGTGTATTACATACGTGACAACTGATGGTGTATTACATACATGACGACTGATGGTGTATTACATACATGGCAGCTGATGGTGTATTACATACATGACGACTGATGGTGTATTACATACATGGCAGCTGATGGTGTATTACATACATGACGACTGATTACCCACTCACTCACTCACTTACTCACCCACTTAGGGAGCTGTCCACTTGGTGGAATAGCTATCTTCAGGAAGGTTGTCTATTACATATGCCTGTTGCACCATACTCTGTTGTCAGCACGTAGCTTTGTATCTCCATCAAAGTGAAATAATATCGGCTTTGACAAACCAGTCTTTGTTATAGAGTGAATGAGTGAGTGAGTGAGTGTGTGAGTGGTTGATAAAGTGAGTGAGTGAGCTGTCCACACGGTAGGGGATCTTTCTTCAGGAAGGCTGTCTATTACATATGTATATTAAACCATACCCTCTTGTTAACAAGTCGCCTCAGCTTTTATAAACCTTGAGAGTGTATACTGTAAGACAACCCATTTCAGCCTCTTCCTCAGAATATACAATAGTAGTTAGTACCAATATTGCAGAGAGACATTAAGAATCATAAGCGTATCCATGTATTTATCACAGCATCCTCTGTCACTATTAATCCAGTTTGTGGAGAAATTGCCCCTAGTTTAGAGACGCTTCATGTTAGCCCACAGAAGCGCACGTAAAATATGTATAAAACGCCGTTCTTTGTCTCTGCGCAATGGGCGGGAACACAATAAGTGTGTGTTTAGTTTTACGCCGCACTCAGCAATATTCCAACAATATGACGGAGGTCTGTAGTAATAATCGAGCCTGGTCCAGACAATGATCAACATCATGAGCATCCATCTACGCTATTGGCTGACTGACTGACTGAGTTTAGTTTTACGCCGCTTTTAGCAATATTCCAGCAATATCACGGCGGGGGACACCAGAAATGGGCTTAACACATTGTGCCCATGTGGGGAATCGAACCCGGGTCTTCGGCGTGACTAGCCAGCGCTGTAACCACATAGGCTACCCACCGCCCCTTCTACGCTATTAGATACAATGACATGTGTCAACCATGTCAGACTCGGGAAGGAGCGGAAACACAATAAGCAGTTCACACTGTGATTGATAGAGTGACTGAGGTTCTAAAACCAGTGGTTAATAGAATGACACATTTTTTCAACAATTCAACAATTCAGTGGTTAATAGAATGACAGAGATTCAACAAACCAGTGGTAAATAGAATGACAGATATTCAACAAACCAGTGGTTAATAGAATGACAGAAATTCAGAAAAATCAGCGGTTGATAGAGTTACAGGGATTCTACAAACTAGTGGTTAATAGAATGACAGAGATTTAACAAACCAGTGGTTGATAGAGTTACTGAGCTTCCACGAACCAGTGGTTAATAGTGTGACGGAGCTATAAGAAACTAGTGGTTGATAAAATGAATTACCTTTAACAAACCAGTGGTTGATGGAATGTCTGAGCTTCGAGAAACCAGTGGTTGATAGAATGACTCACCCTCTACAAACCAGGGTGACTGAACTTCCATGAACTTCGACAAATTAGTATTGGATAGATTGACTGAGCTACTACAACCCAGTGGTTGATATAATTGACCGAGTTTCTACAAATCAATGGTTGATAGTGTCATTAATCCTCGATTAACCAGTGGTTGATAGAGTGACTAAGCCTGAAGAAACCAGTGGTTGATAGAGTAGCTTCCACAAATCAGTGGCTGATGGAATAACTGAGCTTCAACCAACCATGTAATGTTCATACCCAACACAAACCCCACAAACACTCATACTATTAATCATTCAGAAAACATGGACATATTCATGGAAGAATGTATGTTTATGTTATATCTTGTCTGAGGAAATCAGCTTCACGACATATAAACTGGTACTCACCGACATGTCATCGGTCTGCGTGTGTGTAACATTGAAACAGGTTGTTGTACAGTGATTGTGAGATTGTAAACATGTAACAATGGAAGAGGTGAATAAACCCCATATCGCACTGGCTCGGGAGGCTGAATGACCGTATTGCTACCAATGACGTCACACACTGTTTCACATCAAATACATTGTATCGTGGCGACTGTAGTTTCAAGGTGAGTCATAACATCTCTCTCTCTCTCTCTCTCTCTCTCTCTCTCTCTCTCTCTCTCTCTCTCTTTTCTCTCTCTCTCTCTCTCTCTCAATGCATATATTATTACACCTCACCTTTCTGCCTCCACGTGCACCAACAATTCTCCATTCAAACTGATTGGTCCACACAAACCAGTGATTATGTATCGCGAGTATGTTTCCCCTACGCGCGATGGTCCCCATTCTAAGTTGGTCGCGCCTATTACCAGTGTGAAGTCTGGTGTCCCCTGCCGTGATATTGCTGGAATATTGCTAAAAGACCGGTAAAACTCAACTCACTCACTCACTCAAACACTCCCGGCACCACTGCACCATTCTTTATACTAGCGTTCAGTCCCTGGAATAAAGTATTTAAATATAAATATATCTACAAAACAACATATATGATCCTAAAGGAGCCCTGAACAATTTCCGGAACTGAGGAAATGGAGACATGCCAAATTATTGGTCACTTGGGTTGGATTCCTTTTTGAACTTATTCTATTGTATCTGGAGAACAAACCATATGAGTAACCTCTTCCCAACATCCGTGGTAAAAATATACAGGTGCATGAACAGCCGTGCCAAACTTAGTGGTGTTGGCAGCCAAAATATTACTAAATGTGATTAACATGATGCAAGTTTCCCACAGTCGTTCCGAAGGTTTTATGCATAAATAGGAAAATTGACAATATGAAGGGTATTGTGGACTGTGCCGCAGTCGGTAACGAGTAGAATTCGAAAAAAGTTCATGTTGCTAAACACCGTGTCATCTGCAATGCCACTTTAAAGGCCCCACGCAGAGTTGACTGTCGGACAGTCAGTATAGAGTCGGGTTTTTTTTTAAATTCAAACGTCAGTGGACAGTCCATACATGAACAACCATTCCAGCAACAATTTATTCTTGCTCACGGCCACAATATTGAATATAAACGGAGGGATTTTATTACAGAGTATGGTGATATTGTTGCTCTTTGACGTAGACAGGTCTCTTACTGATGACAGGTTATAAAAGTTGACCATTCAATCACTCACTCACTCTATCAACCACTGGTTTGTAAGGATGGGTTTTATTACATATTATGGTGATATTGTTGCTCTTTATGCTCTGGGATGCGTACCTGTACTTCTGTACATGCGTGCTTGAGGGGCACAAGGTATTATAACACACTTTCAACGTCACCATGGAAACGCAATTTTCATACAAATTGCTAATTTGACTGATTTAGTTAGGCCAATTCTTTTTATGGAACCCAAATCCTTGCATGTCAAAGTTTTCTGGATCATTGGTATTGATTGGCAACATATTTCAGCTGTTCACCTGGGCATATCTGTATGTCGTCAACTGCGATGATACTCCCTGCTTAACATGGCGTCTTACCCCAGAACACTGATTGTCTCTGTATATCGGAATACTTCATGAAATACAGGTCAAGTTAAATTCCTATATTTCAAAACTATTTACGAATAAAATCAAACAATGCGTCCACAATTTTATTATTTGAGGCTACATCTGTAGACACAAATCA